TTTAAAGGTAAAAACGCTCATTCCATTGGCAGATCATTTTATTTTCCTTCTCAAATTAAGGTTAAATACACTTATTTTAAGATTTTTTTTTTCATTTCAGAATATTTTTGCAGTGTATGTATTTGGTTTTTAAAAATCTATATATTAGGGTTTTCTAATTATTGTTAGTAAGCTTTTGCCATGTATAGTATTTATGTTTTGTAATAAGGCTTTTCTTAGTTATTTTATGTGTTCTGTGTATTTTTTTATTTTGACTCTTATATAAGTGTTGCTTCTACTTCATTCATGGTTCTTTTTGTGCTTTGGTTGAATTTCCTCTCTTTTTTTTTTGTAGTAATCCGTCATCTTCACTGTACGGCCCTGCTCTGACACCTCCCTCACCTCAGCATTCAGCCGGTTTCAGCTTAGCTGATTCATGCTTGATGCTTCTGCGAGGTCCAAAAAGCCAGATTATGTCATTTTAGCTTCCATGCCATGCACGACTCTGGAAAAACAAGGCAGGAAAGCAACAGCTCCTACTGACGAGGATTTTGCAAATATAAACATCTAGAGATTTTTAATTTAGTCCATAACTATCACTGTGATCAACAGATTGGGGGGAAAAACTTGTGGAAAGAAATTACAGTCACTTCGTTAACTTGTGTTGTGTTGAAATCAGGTCATGCAGAACATGGCCCCCTTGAATAAGCCACAAGGTTTACCTGCAGAACATACCTGTCTAGCATAACTGAGAGTTTATACTCACCTGGGTTTAATGTCATGCTCTACTTCTCAGAATTTCAGTTCAAATGTTTCCAATGCTTCTGACCAGAATCTTTGGTTTTGCTTATTCCAGTTCCTTGTCCCGTTTTTCTCTTTCAGTTAGTAAATTACCCCTTTTTTGTGATTCGGTTCACTCCAATTTAAATCTGGATGAACTTACACAGTTTCTTAGGAATTGTAAGTGTAAGTTACAATTTGCGGCTAGGCGGAAGTCTGCACTCTTCGAATGCTTTTCTAGTTTAAATGTTTCCGTACAGAGACTTTGGAGAGTTTTGGAACATGTCAGATTTTTCCCCATTCAGAAATGGACTTACTGGTGTTTTCCCTGGTAGAGGGTAGGACCTACTCGTTGGCTATGTAAAGTCAATCTGTCAATCCATTTTCTGGATGGAAAATACCCAAGAGGGGTTACGAGGGGTTCTGGTGCCTATCTCCAGCTGTCTATGGGAGAGGCGTGGGATCCAGCCTGCACAGGTCGCCAATCCATCGCAGGGCAACACAGAGACAAACGGGACAAACAACCATTCCTGCACACAATCACACCTAAGGAGAATTTAGAGAAGCCATTTAACCTAACAGTCATGTTTTTGGACTGTGGGAGGAAGCCGGAGTACCCGGAGAGAACATGCATGCTCAGGGAGAACATGCAAACTCTGTGCAGAGTTTGCACAGAGAATCGAACCAGGAACCTTCTTGCTGCAAGGCAGCTGTGCTACCCACCGTTCCACTGAGCAGCCCACTATATAAAGTCATTTACCTTATTAGTTCACAGCTTTTTTTCCCAAAAATCTTTGTGATTACCAAGATTTTTCTTGGCAAATCCACATTTTAAATATGTCCTCTGAAGTACACTGTGTTAAGCATTAACAATCTTACTGGTCTTCAGCTGCATAGCAGTCTGTAAGGTTAATGTATGTTCTGACGCTCTTCTATCATCCTGCATTAAGGTTTTGAACCACTGCACTATTGTAGCCTTTTCTCTAAAAAAAATCTGCCTCATGTGCCAATGACCATTGAGTGGAGCATTTCAGGAGATTAATTGAACTACAAATGATCCAACCAACTCATCTAGTTTGGCTTCTCTACTGGACTTAAGAAATTCTGCTTCCTTTTAACACATCAGCTGTAAAAGCCATCCAATTTGACTCTTTAAAAGACCTTTCTAATTGGTATTTCATTTTTTTTTTTTTTCAATTTCCTCTTTTCTTGCTCCATATTCACACCATTGGCAGTGACATTAGGTTACATGTTGTTTTTTTAGGGAGTTTTCCGCACCAAAGCAAGTGATATTTTCAAGGCTGTGATTTTAAAAGAACAACTATTTCATAAGATATGATACAATCTAGAGAACGAGTGCTAACCCATTCCTGCCTAAATTATAAGGTTTGTTCACAGAGAACCCCCCCATGAATAATCAGATCTGATTTTGAGACTAGAGATAATTTTCACACCTAATCTCAACAGCTCATAATTCCATGATTAATTCCCTCATGTCCATTCATCAGTACCTAAGCTTGTCATATATTAACATTTGCATAAATTTGCAATTAATAAATGCTGCAGGTAATGATGATGCATGTTACCTCAGAAGTTGTTGCCTCCATAATCACAAGCCCATGTCGGAGGATGAAATCAGAAGCAGTGTTTTGAAGTCTTGTGAGTCAGAAGGGTTGGCTATGTTGGACTGGATTTAAGATGCCAGACACACGTCTGGTGTCTTATTCTATACTAAATGGGACAAGGACAGTCAGAGGTTGCTTTTGTTGGCCTATTAGATTCAGTGATTATAGTTGCTCAGGTGGAATGAGCTGGAAAAAAGTAGTCTGTCTCCTTGAGAGGTGTACTATTTATGTTTCCCAATAGATAAGAAGACACCAATCATAGTGGAAAACATAGTTTATTAGACATGAATACTGGTACTCCTGGAAGTAAATTAATATTTTATAGCGTTATCTCTATATTCATAATTCTAATTGTCAGTAAAGGCTGTCAGTACAGAAGTCATGCCGAATTTAAAGTCTGCATTTATTCTTGCAGGATCATTACATGCACAAAGACTATGTGAATAAACTACAGAGGAATTTGGTACTTTCGCTTTTTTCTTTAATTTAATTAAATACACAAAGTTTTGACAAGCAAAACGACCAAGTGTTCTTCCTCTGCAACATTGTGCTATTTGTTTCACTTATGTCTGACAATAAAGTTAGCTTGTTCATTTCAAGACAAACTTTACCTTAAATTAAGCAACTAGTGATGGGTAATATTCTGACAGATGAGCTATTGGCTGTATTGCTTCCTCTAGCTGGTGCTGTTTGAACGCAGGAAGGGTGACTGACCATCAACAAGAAGTAGAGCTAGCGGCTATATTGGGAGTGCACAGGGTGAAACAGAAGATTTGGCCACTGGCTGTTTCTCTAAAATAGGGGGATATCCACCTGTTAATGGAAAGCTCTGTGTTTACACCTTGATGCTCTCGCTCTCTGGTTCTTTTTCCTCAAAGTAGATCACTTGGGACAAACTCTTTAAATAACACTTCATAATGTATATGTATGACATAACCGTGAGACATTACAACAGATTTTGATAGAAATTAAAATCTTAATCAGATAAGAGAAGTTGCTTAGAGGTACAGAAGGTAGGCTTACCAACCGGGCTCACATCTCGTGAAGTGGCCAAGGTTCATATTTAGAGATGCATCTTATAGAACTCCATTATGACAAATCATCACATCATTATATCATTGACTATTGCAGATGAGGAGACATCCATGCTCCAGCCTTATCAAATTATTACACTTTGTTCTTAGCTGAAGTACACAGCCCTCATTCCATTCCCAAATCTTTGGCACGTACCGAATGAATGATTGATAAAGATTATAATGTACATAGCCGGACCGAGGAACTGGCCTAATTAGATAAACTTCTGGAAAAAATTTGAGTTCAGACACGCAAAAAGCAGGTAATATTTTGGTGTAATAAACTCATAAATCATCACTGATATTTATCCTAACCTCTGGCCGCACCACAGTCACTGTCACATGACCAAACAAACACCACATAACCAATTTCCTCACCTCCACTTCCTCAAACAAGGAGATTAACTACATGGAAACAATATCTGTTGTTAATTTTGTCCTAGTTTTACTCATCAGGCAAATACCGCTGTAAAAAAATCAACCTTAAAGCATCCGACGTTGGCCAATACCAATTTTAATGTTGATATATCATTCATCCCTAGCCTGTACTTTTAAAGGCCGTTATCAAGTTAAAAGCGTTTCACACTACAGTCAGTGATTCACACACTGATGGTGATGAGCTACATGGAAACCATAGCTCCAGTGGGGAAGATGAATAGAAATTAGGCTGCCATAATATTAGACTGCCAAAACCTCTGACCTCCAGCAGCAGGCATCTTGGGTGAAGCTCTTTGACCTAAGAAACCATGGCTGAACGGAGGCTTGAATCAGCAACACAAGCCCCCACCTCCTGAGCCGCTGTATGCCCAAGAGTCATTTTGTGTTTGCTTGTTGCCAGTGTTTTTTTTGTTGTATTATTTCACTTTGTATGGAAAGCGATGCTATGTTCAAATCTAGATTGCAAATCTGAAACAGTAGTTAGCAGTTATCTAAATGGTTAAGGCAGACAAATTATTTATATTTATTTATTACCCACAAGCCTATCAGGAATGTGTTAATACATTATATTGAGTACAATATAATGTAAAAAAAAAAAGCTAATATTCCTGTTTTTCTTCCTTCTAGTAAACATATCAGTGTTTTAAATGAGTTCTCATTAACTAGACATTTCTGACTTTCCTGTACATGTTTTGGCAGCTAACACATGGGAAAGCGTGTTGTGCGACTAGATTTTCTGACTTAACGTCAGCTGACACAGGGCTCGTGTTTATGAATGCAGTAAAGGCTTCTTGAATGCAAATGAAATGTCATATTAGTGCCAGCTGATTGCTTGGCTCTGTTTTTCCTCATGGTCCATCCTCAGGAAACACTCACAGACTCTTTCAAAAATGTTGAGTAGTCCCATCTGAAAATTGTCCTTCACTTTCTCCCCCTCCCTGAAATAGCACTGTGCTGTGAGGTTAAGTTCTCCATCTGAATTTAATTAGGATATTCTGTCACGTCAGGGTGTGAAGACGAAATCCTCACTTGGCTGACCTCTAAGTGATGCCTTGTACTGTTAAACTGAATCTCAAACTTTCCTTATTTATTCCTTTCTCAACAGTTTGTGTACTGTACACTCAAGGGATTGCAAACAGAGAATGGAGAGAGGTGAGTACAAAAATTAGATGATTGTTGATATGCTCACAAGGCAGCGTTGTATATCCTGCTACACTCTAGAGCTATAATGTTTGTTGTAAAAAGTGGCCTATGAGTTTTCTGAAACTATTGAAATGTCAGATTAACATAGAAACAGGTCAACAGGAGAGGATGAGATAATCTAAAGGAGCATAAAAAGCAAGACAGCAGAAAATTATATCTGTAGAATTGGATCTACACATATAAGACCTTTAAAATGTGCATGGAGAGTAGTTTACATGTGTCTTTTAAATGCTGCTATTGTGATTTGTTATTTTTATTTTGCGTGTGCACGTCTAGCAGAAATCAAAATTCCTGGTTATGTTTTACCATGACAGAAATGATTATATGTAAGCTTTTAGTCACTAAAACAAAAGTAAGAGCCTTGCTTTTTAAATTTTGTCTTCCAGTTTGGCAGGACCGAAGTCATAGACAACACCCTCAATCCCGACTTTGTCCGCAAATTTATTCTGGATTACTTCTTCGAGGAGAGGCAGAATCTTCGTTTTGACCTGTGAGTTTTCAACACTTGACTTTTGCCTGGTGTTGTGCCTGTGTGTATGTGGCCATGCATTTGTTACCCAGAGGGGACAATTTTCCAGATAGCTACTACATTTTGGGGACTTATAGGTACTTGTGGGGACCAATGATTGGTTCCCATTAGGAGAAGTTTTCTTCTTGGAGTGGTGGTTAAGTTTAGCGCTAAGTGTGAATTGGGTTTAGTTTAGGGTTCGGTTAGGGAGAGGTTTGCACTGGTAATGGTTAGGTTCAGATTTATTGTCAGGGTTGGAGGCCTGAAAATGACTGCAAATCAATGGAACTCAGTTGGGAGTCAACACATGGTCCTCACTACATATAGTAAGACAAGGAAGTGTGTGTGTGTGTGTGGAGCAAATCATATGCACTTTGCAGCCATGGGTGAAAGTGCTGCTTTGTGTTTAGCAAAGCTGAGTTGCAATTGAAATATTCATAGTTTGCACGCATGGGAGATGTAAGCCTTCGCTCCTCTAAATAAAAAAAAGTTTTATGCAGCTTTGAACCGCTACCTTCATTTAAAGTCACTCCATCCAGACAGTCAAGACAGAAGGCTAGATAAAATAGCAATTTTGCAATATTTTAAATATATATCTTGCTTTCTTGAGTGATGATATCTGCAGTAAAAAACACTCAACTACTATTGAATAATATGCTTTGTCCACTTGCTCTTCTTCCTATTTCAATCCTGACTGACACTTTATGGGGGTAAGATCTATACAAAAAGTCCTTGTGAAAGTAACAAATTACTGTTTTAACAGCAGATGCACAAGATTGCTCATTCTCTGTCCTTTTATGCCTAAGTGCAATATTTGACACAGTTGATCATACAATTTTAATTGACCGCCTTGAGCACTCAGGGTCAGCACAGATCCTTCCATAGCTTACCACTCAGCTTGAACCTGCAATGGTAAAGCAGGTGATTTCTGCAACTCGCGAATCGGAAATAAACCTCTGTTTCGCTTATTGCATGACACCCACCATGGTCCATGTATTTCATTTTGTTGGATATATTCTCTTTTGCATTTTTAAAATTTTTTTATGACATTTTCCAATTCTGTGTTTTCCTTTTTTCTATAAGTTATTTCTTTTTTATATGAAGGTATAGCTTCATGTTTAAAATGCTCTTTAATGATCACATTTTAGCTGGAGCTACAACAACACATCACAATTATGGTGAAATAAACAGTTCTGATATATTGATTGGAGTTTTAGCCTGGCTGGTTCTGATTAGACTCTAAGCTCAACATTAACTCCTGTCTGTTTGCCAGAGGCAGCAATCCTTGTTTGGGCAGGTGGAGAGTGTTATGCAGTAATCCAAATCAATTGGGCAATTGAAAACACATTTATTTAATTCAGTTTGATCTATTGCTGTACCTAACAGCATCATGATGATTTGCGTACAAAGGCACAGATTGTCACACATGATTGTATAGAAATACGGTTACACTCGTTCATACTCATTTTGAGATTGGTGCCATTAGACCAGAGCATTTAAAAATATATATTTTTCCTTATTATTTTTACTTGGAAAATAACAGAGGGGAGTCCATCCATCCATCCATCCATCCATCCATCCATCCATCCATCCATCCATCCATCCATCCATGCTGTTGCGAGGGTTGCTGGTGTCTATCTCCAGCTGTCTATGGGCAAGAAGCAGGGTACAGCCTGGACAGGACCATTGACGCACACACACACAAACCTAAGGAGAATTTAGAGAAGCCAATTAAACCTAAAAGTCATGTTTTTTGACCATGGGAGGAAGCCGGAGTACCAAGAGAGAACCCACGCATGCACTGGGAGAACATGCACATCATGGAAATGGAACCCAGAACCTTCTTGCTGCAAGGCAGCAGTGCAATCCACTGCACCAGTGTGCAGACGGTAGCCCACCAAGAGAAGAGTCCAATAATCCTTAAACAATCCAAGTATTATTCCACTGATATAATATTTTAAATACTGAAAAAGAAAAAATATATAGTTCAAATTTATCTGGAATGCCATAGTTTTGGGCTACTTAAAATAGCGTATGTATTTCTGTGTGCATACGATTGATCAATGACAGATTAAGGCATATAAACAGGTTCAAAATCTATGAGGTGTCCTGAGAATAAGCAGATGTTACAAACTTTCTCTGACTGCAAAGATTATAGTTTTACTATAGGTCAGAGTTAAATGTCTTTTGTATCTCTGAGTATTATTTCACAATCCCTTTGTTTATACAAAAGCACATTGCTTTTCCTTGCTTTTTACCCCATTTCCTCTGTCCTGCAATCCCTCTAAACAGCTGGAGGCCAGCTATCGGAAATGAACTCTCGATCTGTTTACAGAGCCAGGTTTCTGTAAAGCAAAGGGCAGCGGATCTGCAGAATAAATTTCTTTTCCTGAGAAGGGGCATCTTGTCAGGGAGTCGACAATCCCCCAATGTATAAATGGGAATGAGTGCACTGGAAAAAAAAAAATCGAAATTTAGATAAGTCATTTTTTCTTAAAATAAGCGTGTTTCTTCTTGTATTTAGAAGGTTACACACTTTGCCAATGGAACATGACAATTTACATTTGAAATAAGAACAAAAACGTATTTCATTGTCTTATTTCAAGTGTATATTATCTAATTACCTTATTTTAAGACAAAAAATCCTCATTCCATTGGCAAATTATCTTATTTACCTACTTAAATCAAGGGTAAATACACTTAATTCAAGACATTTTCACTTATTTCTAGATCGTTTTTGCAGTGTGGGAATGAAGCTCACATTCCCTCCTGGTGGAGCCTGTATAGAAAAGTATCTTTACACCTTCAAGCTCTCTCACCCCCATTCTTTCCTGAGAAGAGATCACTTGGAATACTTTACAAAGTTTCTAATGCATATATATAAAAATACTATAAAACATTATTGCAGGTTAAACAAAATGTTATCTTACTCAGACCACTTGGGTTGCATACAGTGGCAGTGTTCACTATTGGGCTTGCTTTGTCAGGACGGGGCCCAAAATAAAAGTTAAAAAGCATTTTATACATCTCCAGTGCCCCTCCATGCCACATCATCACACATCATTACATCATCAGTCTATCTTCTCCCGCTTATTCCGTCAGGGTCGCGGTGGGGCCGGTGCCAATCTCCGTCAATCTCTGGGTGAAAGGCGGGGTCCATCGGGTACAGGTCGGCTGTACATTACATCATTCTGTTTGTAAATAAGGAGACTGACTATTATCTCAATAAAGCTCTTGCCTTATTGAAAAATACACAGTGTTCTAGATCAAAGAGAACCCAAATGCAGACTGACGGAAAACTTAATAAACTGTCTGGGAAAACATTAGCCTTAACACTTAACAAGTAGGTAATATCAGAGTTTAAATGGTAAAAGTTTAATAAGGTACGGTTTTAACAGGTAGGCTTCCTTAAAGGTATTGTGGAGGATTTTTTACAAATTTTTTAAAAGACCTGCCCTCTCCACTTTAAAAAAATGCACATGCACAACCCTGTACCCGCTACCGAGAGGGACTGCCTATTAAACGTGTGTGAGAGCATGCAGAGCCCATTTAAAAATTGCTGTTCTTCTAGCTCATACAAGCTTACTGTGTGCAATTGCCCGCCCTAACCCCTATATCCCTCAATCACTATATAGAACAGGGACTACATAGTGGACTTTATAGGGAACTCTCTAGGCCTCTGTGACAGCAAATCCCATAAAGCTTTGCGAGGAGAGCTCTTTGCACAAAGCAGTCTGGGATATATCTGCCTCTTCTGAGGTCTTTCTCTTGTTCTCATGCACACTTTTTCTCTTACGACCCTTTGCCATTTTCAAAGAACCGTAGTGAGAAAGGTGAGCTTCAATGACTGTCTGAAACCGTAGCTCACCACAGATATGCGGCTAAAAGTACGCATGCGCAGGTTAATATAGCTAACGGGACAAGCACATATGACGGCCTTATGTAAACATATCACCAGAATGATTGACAATTAGGAACGCCACTTATTTAGATGATCCACCCGGAAATAAAAGATCCTCCTCTATAGCTTTAAAACCACTCTTGTGGTTTACATGTCCAAAAAACCCATTCATGACCAGGATGTGAAAATCAAAAGAAAGAAACCTTAAGCACAGTGGAAAACATCTGTTCTTACCACTGCATGAAAAGTGAGATTTTCGTCCCCGTAAACCCCCGTAAACTCCCGCAGATCTCCCTG